TAGGGTGGGGAGGATGAAACTAATTGACAGCCCCACGAACACAATCCTATGTAAGATGCAGCTCGTGATGAGGGGGAATCCAATGTGGGATCAAGTATAGTGATAGCAGAGTGGGAGGGAACTAAAAATAAACTGCTTGGTTCATCGTTTGGCCAGAGGCTGGCTCAAGCTATTTTTTGAGGTTTCCCACTGATAACAAAGGAATACTTGATGGACTTTGAATGGGATTAATCCAGGCTTCCCAGGCTTCTTTGGTGGACTGAAAAATTAATAATAGCACTTCACATCGAAAGATCTATTAATTTTGCCTTAAGTTAGCAATTCTATTCTCAAGAATTATAACTAATTACAAATGCACACAGACTTGATTCATTTCTACTCTTTAACTCAAGCATTATTTACTGAGCACATACGACATGCCAGGGAAAGTTCTAGGAACTGGTATTGTAGAAATTACTGAAGAAAAAGTCCCTGAATTTATGGAGCCTCCGTCCTAGTTGGGAAAGAGGTATTAAATAAGTCATCATGTTTCCAAATCTCATGGGAAGTTTTCAGCCCACATGTTATTAGACCTTTTAGTCTCTTCCTTCTAGAAATACTTTCTTCATTTGGTTTCTGGGACAACACGTTCTCTTCCCTTACTGTCTATCCATTGAATTCAGTATGCTTTGTTGACTCCTCCTCATTTTCCTGACTGTAAATTGGTGGACCCAGAGCTGTCTTCAAATATTTCTTCCCTCCCTTATTTGACATCACTGCGCCCATGATCTAAAATTTGTATTTCTAGCCCTCGCTGCTCCCCTGAATTCTAGTCTTTTCAATACAACTGCCTACTTGACACCTCCACTTACATATCTAATGGGCTTCCAAAATTTAACATGACCACCCAAATCACAGTCTTGATTTTACACCCCAAACTACTCTTACTATTAAGTCTTTTCTTTCTCCGTTAATAGCAGCTTCATTCTTCCAATTACTCAGGAAAATCCTGGGAATCATCCTTGACCTCTTTCTCTCTCAGTCTACCTCTGATCCATCACAGGTAGCTATAAAGATGTCCATCACAGCATTGTTTAGAATACTAAAGCTTGGAAATGATCTAATCATTCAACAGTGGAAGACTGGTTACATTTTAGCACATATGGCCATTAAAAATGATGCTATAGGTTAATAGCTTACTGTTTAAGGACATTTTTATCATGGAAAATTTCAAACATGCTCAATAATAGAGATCTGTAAACCCCATCATCCAGCTGCAACAATTATGGACTCAAAGTTAGTCTTGCTTCATTTATACACCCCGTTATCTCCCACCTCTTTCACTGGATTGTTTCTAATCAAATCCCAGACATCACATTGTTTAATATGTAAGTATTTGTACCATATACAAAAGCAGATTGTTAAGAAATATGTATAATGTGATTTCACTTTTGTAAACTATGTACCTAGGTGCATAGGAAAAAGTCTGACAGGGCAGCTATCTCTGAATCGTGGTACGTGACTGTTGATATCTTTTTCTCAATGAACATGTATTACATATAGAAAAGACGGTGGGGATGGGGTGCGTGGGGGAAGATGTTGATGCCAGACGTTCTAGTTCTATTCCTTTCCAAATCCGGTTACTTTAATTCAGGCAAGATACTTCATGTAGTGAAAGGGAAATAACCACTTTGTAGAGGTGAGGATCCCTGTCTTTCAGCTTCTGTGTTCTCTCCCAATAGTCTGTAACTAAAAGTTGCCATATGAACATCTATTGTTACAACAGGGCTTCTCAACTTCAGCTCTACTGACATTTGGGGCTGGATAATTACTTGCTGTGGAAGGCTATCCTCTGCCCTGGATGAGATCTCGCAGCATCTCTGGTCTCTGCTCATTAGATGCCCCTTGCATCTTCCCCTCATCCTCACCCATTGTAGCACCCAAAAATGTCTTCAGAAATCGCCAAATGTCCTTGGGGAGGCAAAATTACCCTGGACTGAGAACCACTACACTTTACAGCATGTGTACTCATTGAAATGCATGGTGTCTGGGAGGTTAGCGGCAAAAATGTTCTGTTTTACTCATTTTGCTGGCTGAGACCTCGGGAAGGATATAATTTGTGATCTGATGAAAACTGCCTTCATGGTTTACTGACCTGCACATTTAAGTAACCAACCTATGACTCCGTGGTTAATGATTATCTGCATTTTTGAAACATATCCAGAAAGGAACATGACAGGTTCAACTCCATGAGAAAAGCAGATGTCGTGAATGAAAGATGGCTTGTCAGCTAAGACAGTGATCAGTTAGATTTTCCTCTGCCGCCTACCAACTAACCTATTTCACTATTCATTAAAATCCACGACACAGGGAAATGTGCGGAAGTTAAAAATGGGGGAATTCTTCCTAGAAAATTAATGATGCTACATACATATAAACAGTTCCTTTTTATTAGTAATAAACATGTAGGGACCATTGTAAAAGATGAGGCAAAAGGGCATTTAAATGTTGTACTTTATTTGGATTTTTTCTCATAATGGAAACATTATTAGAGAATCATAGAAATGAGATAAGGGAAAATATGAGGTCATCTTGCCCATTTTCTTCAAGAGCTACACTGTTCTGTGTAACCCGTCCCAACCCCAGTCCAGAGCCTTATTAAATATCCCCATTTTCATAATATAGGATCCTCCTCATGTCCCCCTCCCCCCCCGGGAGAGTAACTCAACAGATGAGCAGAGGGCTTAAGTTAGTAGTTTTGTAATATTCCGAAGATTACCTCTTTAGCTAGCACTGTGTTGGTTGCATAGAAAATAAAACTTCTAGCAAAGTCTACACCAGACTTTGGTGATCCAGATTTATCAAGCACAATGTGCATCATGTCTTAAACAGCTTTACTGGGGCACCTGGCTGGCATAGTTCGTTAAGTGTCAGACTCTTGATTTCGGCTCAGGTCATGATCTCACAGTTGGTGAGTTTCCCGTGTCGGGCTCTGCACTTACAGCATGGAGCCTTCTTGGGATTCTTTCTCTCCCTCTCTCTCTCTCTCTGTCCCTTCCTTGCTCGCATGTGCACGTGTGCATGTGCTCTCTCTCTCTCAAAATAAATAAACATTAAAAAAATAGCCTTACACAGGGGCGCCTGGGTGGCTCAGTCGGTTAAGCGTCCGACTTCACAGGTCACGATCTCGCGGTCCGTGAGTTTGAGCCCCGCGTCGGGCTCTGGGCTGATGGCTCAGAGCCTGGAGCCTGCTTCTGATTCTGTCTCCCTCTCTCTCTGCCCCTCCCCCGTTCATGCTCTGTCTCTCTCTGTCTCAAAAATAAATAAACGTTAAAAAAATTTTTTTAAAAAAATAGCCTTACACAATTATACAACTTAATGAAGTAGATCTGTGAGCCTTAATCGTTGTTTCTTGCAACTGTTGGATACTCCTATGCCAGACAATGTGTAAGATATTTATAAATCTCCTTATACTTTCTTACATTTACCTACTTTAGAATCAATGCTTAAATTTCATTTTTCATGATAACATCCAGGATTTTCTTTAATGGTAAAAATACCATTAATTGAGTAGCTTCTGTGAGCCAGGCATTATTTAAGTTACTGAACATTTAATATTTTATGCAATCTTTGTAATCCTACCAGATATATAGGTCTATTTACACAGGAGAGAATGGAGGCTGAGAGAGGTTAAGTACTTTGTCCAAAGTCTCACAGCTTCTGCAAGACAGGGTTCTGATCCAACACATAGGTCAAGTCTGACTATTTAAATAGTCACAGAATGTGAGATTTTCTCTAAAAATTTGTGTCAGGGAAATGTTACTTGCTTGGATTCCTTAAAACAAAGCCCATCTGCAATAGCCCCGGGGCTACATCTAAGAAAAAAACCAAGAGTCAATCATAATGAAACACTCAGGAGCCTGAAGACTGGCGTGGCCCAGGGAATGGACTCCATTGTGTTGTTAGATGTGGAGAAAAATAGCCCAAGTGCTTTGTACAGTGACGGAGAATAGACTGGCTCTTTCTTAAGCTACAGAGGTTTTAGAGAGGAGGGCTCCTTGTGGAAAATTCCTGAGATTCAGGGAGTGGGGGAAGGGGACTCCATATTTGGTTTCTGTTGTCCAAGCTGTGGGTAGTTAGGGGAGAGAATAGGACTGCAGGGGTAGTCTCATGTATAAGTATGGAAAATAGAAGCATAGAACATAAAAAGAAGTGGCCACAGCTAAAGAAAACAAACCCAAATCCAAACCTAAACCCCAAGCCCAAACCTCAAACAGGTTATGGGAAAGAATTGTAACCATTGGAAATGAACAGTCAACACCGGACTTCAGGCTGTGAGCGTTCAGTCTGATTAATTAAGGTCAAGGTGGTGATGGAAATACCAGCTGGGGAGCATTTTGCCTAAAGATAAATTTGTCCCTCTGTATCTCTGCAAGACAGCAGGGAGGTGTGTGTTTGGAGCTAAATTAATTTGATTTACATCATGCCATGGTAACTTCTGTTCTCTCTCCCTGCTGTCAGATGTCTTAGCTGGCTCTTTCCCTCTCCTTCACCCCCACACATTTCATAACACGGAGAGAAAGCATGGATTGGCTTCGGGCAGAATTTAGAAATGGAATAGCTCTAATTTGATTATTTTGTATCGAGTGCTCTTTCCTCCCCCCGCCCCTTTCTTGAGGGAGAGAAGTTGTAAACCCGAACCTAAGTGCGATATATTTTTATGCTGTGCCTAATGGCACGAACTGCTTGACAATCGGAACTTGTTCCGTGTAGCAAAACCTAGCAGCTCACCTACCTCCTGTGTTTCTTCAACAACGCTAATGCTACAAAATGAAGTTACCAACCAGGACCCCGTTAGGAATGCGCTTTTTCTGGGCATGTAGCTTTTCAACTCCGCCTGGCGCCGGAGGCCAGGGTGGAGCCCCCCCCCCCCCCCCTCCCGGGGGGCCCCCCCCCCCACCCCCGGAGCCCGGGTTCTGGCCCCGCCGAGCCTCCTGCACCTCCGCGACCCCACCCGGCACGCCGCCCCTCACCCCTTCCAGCGGCCGGCGCGCTCGGCCGGGCAGGATAAGGTTACGCCGAGGCTTCCTTGGACCGCGGGGAGGGAGGCGGGTCCGAGCCCGCGCCCCGGCCCGCGGGGGAGTTCCCACCGTGGGCGGCTCGGGCCCGCGGGGTCACATCCTCGCTGCCGGCCGGGCGCGGCGTGCGGGCCGCCGAGCTTAGCCCCGGGCCCGGCCCCCCTGCCATGGCGCGGGAGAGGCCGCCCGGGAGGGGCTGCGGCGTCCTGCGCCGGTGTGTGGTCGGCGCCGCGCTGCTGCTCGGCCTGCGACTGTGCGCGG